GGTGAGTGAGTGAGGGTGAGTGAGTGAGGGTGGGTGAGTGAGAGTGAGTGAGGGTGAGTGAGGGTGAGTGAATGAGGGTGAGTGAGGGTGAGTGAGTGAGGGTGAGTGAGTGAGGGTGAGTGAGGGTGAGTGAGTGAGGGTGAGTGAGGGAGAGTGAATGAGGGTGAGTGAGGGTGAGTGAGTGAGGGTGAGTGAGGGTGAGTGAGTGAGGGTGAGTGAGTGAGGGTGAGTGAGGGTGAGTGAGGGTGAGTGACTGAGGGTGAGTGAGGGTGAGTGAGTGAGGGTGAGTGAGGATGAGTGAGTGAGGGTGAGTGAGTGAGGGTGAGTGAGTGAGGGTGAGTGAGGGTGAGTGAGTGAGGGTGAGTGAGGGTGAGTGAGTGAGAGTGAGTGAGGGTGAGTGAGTGAGGGTGAGTGAGTGAGGGTGAGTGAGGGTGAGTGAGTGAGAGTGAGTGGGGGTGAGTGAGGGTGAGTGAGTGAGGGTGAGTGAGTGAGGGTGAGTGAGGGTGAGTGAGTGAGGGTGAGTGAGTGAGTGTGGGTGGGTGAGTGAGTGAGGGTGAGTGAGTGAGGGTGAGTGAGTGAGGGTGAGTGAGGGTGAGTGAGTGAGGGTGAGTGAGGGTGAGTGAGTGAGAGTGAGTGAGAGTGAGTGAGTGAGGGTGAGTGAGTGAGGGTGAGTGAGGGTGAGTGAGTGAGAGTGAGTGGGGGTGAGTGAGGGTGAGTGAGTGAGGGTGAGTGAGTGAGGGTGAGTGAGGGTGAGTGAGGGTGAGTGAGTGAGTGTGGGTGGGTGAGTGAGTGAGGGTGAGTGAGTGAGGGTGAGTGTGGGTGAGTGAGTGGGAGAGGGTGAGTGATGGAGAGTGAATGAGGGTGAGTGAGTGAGGGTGAGTGAGGGTGAGTGAGTGAGGGTGAGTGAGGGTGAGTGAGTGAGGGTGAGTGAGGGTGAGTGAATGAGGGTGAGTGAGTGAGGGTGAGTGAGGGTGAGTGAGTGAGGGTGAGTGATGGAGAGTGAATGAGGGTGTGTGAGTGAGGGTGAGTGAGGGTGAGTGAGTGAGGGTGAGTGAGGGTGAGTGAGTGAGGGTGAGTGAGGGTGAGTGTGAGTGAGTGAGGGTGAGTGTGGGTGGGTGAGTGAGTGAGGGTGAGTGTGGGTGGGTGAGTGGGTGATGGTGAGTGAGTGAGGGTGAGTGAGTGAGTCAGGGTGAGTGAGGGTGAGTGAATGAGGGTGAGTGAGGTTGAGTGAGTGAGGGTGAGTGAGGGTGAGTGAGAGTGAGTGAATGAGGGTGAGTGAGTGAGTGAGGGTGAGTGAGTGAGTGAGGGTGAGTGAGTGAGGGTGAGTGAGGGTGAGTGAGTGAGGGTGAGTGAGGGTGAGTGAGTGAGGGTGAGTGAGGGTGAGTGAGTGAGGGTGAGTGAGGGTGAGTGAGTGAGGGTGAGTGAGTGAGGGTGAGTGAGTGAGTGAGGGTGAGTGAGGGTGAGTGAGTGAGTGAGGGTGATTGAGTGAGAGTGAGTGAGGGTGAGTGAGGGTGAGTGAGGGTGAGTGAGTGAGGGTGAGTGAGTGAGGGTGAGTGAGGGTGAGTGAGTGAGGGTGAGTGAGTGAGGGTGAGTGAGGGTGAGTGAGGGTGAGTGAATGAGGGTGAGTGAGTGAGGGTGAGTGAGGGTGAGTGAGGGTGAGTGAATGAGGGTGAGTGAGGGTGAGTGAGTGAGGGTGAGTGAGGGTGAGTGAGTGAGGGTGAGTGAGTGAGGGTGAGTGAGTGAGGGTGAGTGAGGGTGAGTGAGTGAGGGTGAGTGAGGGTGAGTGAGGGTGAGTGAGTGAGAGTGAGTGAGGGTGAGGGTGAGTGAGTGAGGGTGAGTGAGGGTGAGTGAGTGAGGGTGAATGAGGGTGAGTGAGTGAGGGTGAGTGTGGGTGGGTGAGTGAGGGTGAGTGAGTGAGGGTGAGTGAGGGTGAGTGAGGGTGAGTGTGAGTGAGTGAGGATGAGTGTGGGTGGGTGAGTGTGTGAGGGTGAGTGTGTGAGTGTGGGTGGGTGAGTGAGTGAGGGTGAGTGAGTGAGGGTGAGTGAGTGAGTCAGGGTGAGTGAGGGTGAGTGAATGGGGGTGAGTGAGGGTGAGTGAGGGTGAGTGAGTGAGGGTGAGTGAGTGAGGGTGAGTGAGGGTGAGTGAGTGAGGGTGAGTGAGTGAGGGTGAGTGAGGGTGTGTGAGGGTGAGTGAGTGAGGGTGAGTGAGGGTGAGTGAGTGAGGGTGAGTGAGTGAGGGTGAGTGAGTGAGTGAGGGTGAGTGAGGGTGAGTGAGTGAGTGAGGGTGAGTGAGTGAGGGTGAGTGAGTGAGGGTGAGTGAGTGAGAGTGAGTGAGGGTGAGTGAGGGTGAGTGAATGAGGGTGAGTGAGGGTGAGTGAGTGAGGGTGAGTGAGTGAGGGTGAGTGAGGGTGAGTGAGTGAGGGTGAGTGAGGGTGAGTGAATGAGGGTGAGTGAGGGTGAGTGAGTGAGGGTGAGTGAGGGTGAGTGAGTGAGGGTGAGTGAGTGAGGGTGAGTGAGGGTGAGTGAGGGTGAGTGAATGAGGGTGAGTGAGGGTGAGTGAGTGAGGGTGAGTGAGGGTGAGTGAGTGAGGGTGAGTGAGTGAGGGTGAGTGAGGGTGAGTGAGTGAGGGTGAGTGAGGGTGAGTGAGTGAGAGTGAGTGAGGGTGAGTGAGTGAGGGTGAGTGAGTGAGGGTGAGTGAGGGTGAGTGAGTGAGAGTGAGTGGGGGTGAGTGAGGGTGAGTGAGTGAGGGTGAGTGAGTGAGGGTGAGTGAGTGAGGGTGAGTGAGGGTGAGTGAGTGAGGGTGAGTGAGTGAGTGTGGGTGGGTGAGTGAGTGAGGGTGAGTGAGTGAGGGTGAGTGAGTGAGGGTGAGTGAGGGTGAGTGAGTGAGGGTGAGTGAGGGTGAGTGAGTGAGAGTGAGTGAGGGTGAGTGAGTGAGGGTGAGTGAGTGAGGGTGAGTGAGGGTGAGTGAGTGAGAGTGAGTGGGGGTGAGTGAGGGTGAGTGAGTGAGGGTGAGTGAGTGAGGGTGAGTGAGGGTGAGTGAGGGTGAGTGAGTGAGTGTGGGTGGGTGAGTGAGTGAGGGTGAGTGAGTGAGGGTGAGTGTGGGTGAGTGAGTGGGAGAGGGTGAGTGATGGAGAGTGAATGAGGGTGAGTGAGTGAGGGTGAGTGAGGGTGAGTGAGTGAGGGTGAGTGAGGGTGAGTGAGTGAGGGTGAGTGAGGGTGAGTGAATGAGGGTGAGTGAGTGAGGGTGAGTGAGGGTGAGTGAGTGAGGGTGAGTGATGGAGAGTGAATGAGGGTGAGTGAGTGAGGGTGAGTGAGGGTGAGTGAGTGAGGGTGAGTGAGGGTGAGTGAGTGAGGGTGAGTGAGGGTGAGTGTGAGTGAGTGAGGGTGAGTGTGGGTGGGTGAGTGAGTGAGGGTGAGTGTGGGTGGGTGAGTGGGTGATGGTGAGTGAGTGAGGGTGAGTGAGTGAGTCAGGGTGAGTGAGGGTGAGTGAATGAGGGTGAGTGAGGGTGAGTGAGTGAGGGTGAGTGAGGGTGAGTGAGAGTGAGTGAATGAGGGTGAGTGAGTGAGTGAGGGTGAGTGAGTGAGTGAGGGTGAGTGAGTGAGGGTGAGTGAGGGTGAGTGAGTGAGGGTGAGTGAGGGTGAGTGAGTGAGGGTGAGTGAGGGTGAGTGAGTGAGGGTGAGTGAGGGTGAGTGAGTGAGGGTGAGTGAGTGAGGGTGAGTGAGTGAGTGAGGGTGAGTGAGTGAGTGAGGGTGAGTGAGTGAGAGTGAGTGAGGGTGAGTGAGGGTGAGTGAGGGTGAGTGAGTGAGGGTGAGTGAGTGAGGGTGAGTGAGGGTGAGTGAGTGAGGGTGAGTGAGGGTGAGTGAGGGTGAGTGAATGAGGGTGAGTGAGTGAGGGTGAGTGAGGGTGAGTGAGGGTGAGTGAATGAGGGTGAGTGAGGGTGAGTGAGTGAGGGTGAGTGAGGATGAGTGAGTGAGGGTGAGTGAGTGAGGGTGAGTGAGTGAGGGTGAGTGAGGGTGAGTGAGTGAGGGTGAGTGAGGGTGAGTGATGGTGAGTGAGTGAGAGTGAGTGAGGGTGAGGGTGAGTGAGTGAGGGTGAGTGAGGGTGAGTGAGTGAGGGTGAATGAGGGTGAGTGAGTGAGGGTGAGTGAGTGAGGGTGAGTGAGGGTGAGTGAGTGAGGGTGAGTGAGTGAGGGTGAGTGTGGGTGGGTGAGTGAGTGAGAGTGAGTGAGGGTGAGTGAATGGGGGTGAGTGAGGGTGAGTGAGTGAGGGTGAGTGAGGGTGAGTGAATGAGGGTGAGTGAGTGAGGGTGAGTGAGGGTGAGTGAGTGAGGGTGAGTGATGGAGAGTGAATGAGGGTGAGTGAGTGAGGGTGTGAGTGAGGGTGAGTGAGTGAGGGTGAGTGAGTGAGTGAGAGTGAGTGAGGGTGAGTGAGTGAGGGTGAGTGAGGGTGAGTGAGTGAGGGTGAGTGAGGGTGAGTGAGTGAGGTTGAGTGAGGGTGAGCGAGTGAGGGTGAGTGAGGGTGAGTGAGTGAAGGTGAGTGAGTGAGTGAGGGTGAGTGAGGGTGAGTGAGTGAGGGTGAGTGAGGGTGAGTGTGAGTGAGTGAGGGTGAGTGTGGGTGGGTGAGTGAGTGAGGGTGAGTGAGTGATGGTGAGTGAGGGTGAGTGAGTGAGTGAGGGTGAGTGATGGAGAGTGAATGAGGGTGAGTGAGTGAGGGTGAGTGAGGGTGAGTGAGTGAGTGAGGGTGAGTGAGTGAGGGTGAGTGAGTGAGTGAGGGTGAGTGAGTGAGGGTGAGTGAGTGAGGGTGAGTGAGTAAGTGAGTGAGGGTGAGTGAGTGAGGGTGAGTGTGGGTGGGTGAATGAGTGAGGGTGAGTGAGTGAGGGTGAGTGGGGGTGAGTGAGTGAGGGTGAGTAAGTGAGTGAGTGAGGGTGAGTGAGTGAAGTGAGGGTGTCAAGAGGGGAGGGGGAGGGGGGGTCAAGTGGCTAAGGGGGGATCAAGAGCTTCCGGTCTGACGTCAGTCTCCATGGTAACCGCGGACGCGATGGCTGCCCACCTCAGTCACCCGGAAGGCGCCCCGCTCCCTGGCTGTCGGTGAGAGAACGCCTCGTCCCACGCCGCCTTTGTCTCCCCTTTGTCTCTCCTTTGTCTCGCCTTTGTCCCCCCATTGTCTCCCCTTTGTCTCCCCTTTGTCTCCCCTTTGTCTCCCTTTTGTCTCCCTTTTGTCTCCCCATTGTCTCCCCTTTGTCTCCCCGTGTTCACGCTCACTCACTCACACTCATCCACTCACACACACACTCACTCATCCACTCACTCACTCACACACACTCACTAACACACACTAACACACACTCACACACACTCACACTCGCTCACTCACACTCATCCACTCACACACTCACACTCATCCACTCGCACACACTCACTCACACTCATCCACACACTCACTCACACACACTCACTAACACACTCACTAACACACACTAACACACACTCACACACACTCACTCACACTCATCCACTCATCCACTCACACACACTCACTCACTCACACTCATCACACACACACACTCACTCACACACACTCATCCACTCACACTTACTCACACACACTCACTCACACGCATCCACTCACACTCATCCACTCACACTCATCCACTCACACTCACTCACACACACTCACTAACACACTCACTCACACTCACTCACACACACTCACTCACAGACACTCACTTACATACACTCACTCACACTCACACACACTCACTCTCACTCACACACACACACTCACACACACTCACACACACTCATCCAGTCACACACACTCACTCATCCACTCACACACACTCACTCATCCACTCACACACACTCACTCATCCACTCACACACACTCACTCACACACACTCACACACACTCACTCACACACACTCACTCACACACACTCACACACACTCACTCACACACACTCACTCACACACACTCACACACACTCACACACACAAAGATAAAAAAATCCCCCGTATAGCCTTAACAGACTGTAGGGGCAAGTGCTGTTAGCAAGCACCTATGAAGGCCGGATCGGTACACGAGGGGGTGGGTGGCCAGCACCACGCCCGACCGCCTTTGTCTCCCTAGTGGCAATGTTTACACACCGCACCAGGTACTCATTTGAGGCTGAGTCGACCTAGGGGAGGCCCGGGACCGGTTCAGATAATCGTCACTGGTGTTGGCCGTGAGCGGGAATCGAACCCGAGTCGCCAGGTTCATAGCGCAGCCTAGCGCTAACCACTACACTACCGCTCCCCCTCACCCACCCGCCCGCCCGCTCACCCGCTCACCCGCCCACCCGCCCGCCCACCCGCTCACCCACTCACCCGCTCACCCACTCACCCACTCACCCACCCACTCACCCACTCACCCACCCACTCACCCACCCACTCACCCACCCACTCACCCACCCACTCACCCACCCACTCACCAACTCACCCACCCACTCACCCACTCACTCACTCACCCACCCACTCACTCACCCACTCACCCACTCACCCACCCACACACACACTCACCCACCCACCCACTCACCAACTCACCCACCCACTCACCCACTCACTCACTCACCCACCCACTCACTCACCCACTCACCCACTCACCCACCCACCCACACACCCACTCACCCACCCACACACTCACCCACCCACCCACACACCCACTCACCCGCCCACCCTCACCCACCCGCCCACCCTCACCCCTCTCTCTGCGTGTTCCCCCGCATGCTCCACGCTGGAACTCGCCCTCCCATCGTCTCGTCTCTCCCCAAGCGCTCACGACAACAACAACAACAAGGACCTCGTTCGGTGCTGTTCGTTACTGGCCGCTGGGCGTTTTTGGGCCTTAGGACCCTGTGCTCAGCAAGTGCATTGCATAAAGCACGCTGCTGCTACTGCTGCTGCTGTAGTCCAGTGGGTTCACGTGGCCCTCTATAGCCACAAGAGGACGCTATATCCACCACATTTGTTAACACTAACAATGATTTTGTTTGTGGAATCCAAAAACGCGGCGGTTCTTAAGGTGGGGTGCGAGATTCCCTTTCTGGGGGTGGTGTGTGCGCGAGACCTGGCCAGATTTTAGTTCGAAGGTAAGTCATCGAAAAGACAAGCGAAGCACGGTGCAAAGTAAGTCACAACTTTGTGTTTTTATTATTCAGTTTAACACGTAGGCTTTCGCGACCAATATTATTCATAATAAAGGTTTTTGGGTTAGATCGCGTTTATTTATAAATGTGTCGTAACCCTCCACCACCCGACACGGCCAATCAGCAAAAAAAGTGTCACGTTGACAAAAGACAAATAATTCACTACTTCAACCCACCGGTGTGTTGAAGAGTTAATCCACATTTACAGTTTGAGTACGACGTTTCGCTGGTAAGTACATCCAGCATCATCGGGCAATTCGCCAGAATGGTAAAGCCCTCGCTTGCTCCCGGTTTTTATATAGAGCAGCAGGGTGACGTCATCACTTAACTCATATCAGGTGCAGTGATTAGAGGCGGAGGGGGGGGGGTATTGTAATTATATAATCGATTAGTAATCAGTCATTGGTTATGATTGGTAATGAGTTGTAGAGACGCTCGTACATCGGGCCAAAACAGTGTCAGATGGTGAGAGTCTAGTGAGAGAGATTAAACACGTTAAAAACGCACTACGACAGAATGGCTACAATAATACTCAAATTAACAGAGCACTGAATGCCAAATCACGATCGCAAAGCAATACTGCTGAAAGCGACCAGATTGTTAAAACAATAAAAATTCCATATATCTCAGGAGTAACTGACAAATTAGCCCGTGTTCTGCAAAAGCAAAACATTACAGTAAGATTTGGTACAGTACACAAAATTCAAAAACTAGTATCTTGCACTAAAGATGCATTACCTAAACTATCAACAGAAGGTGTATATCGGATTAATTGTTCATGTGGCAGCTGCTACATTGGGCAGACGGGACGTAACATCAGCGTAAGACTAAAAGAACATCAGAGAAATATTAAATTATCTCAAACACAACTGTCGGCAGTGGCAGAACATGCTTGTCAACAAGGACACTCAATTGATTTTGACAATGTTGCAGTGGTGTGTAAAACTAATTATTACTGGCAAAGACTAATTAGAGAATCCATTGAAATTGAGAGGAACAAGAATAACTTTAATCGCTCTGACAGCTACCGGCTTAGTGTGGCCTGGAAGCGTATTATTAAATAATACACATTACATTTAAAGAATTATTAATCTACAACTCATTACCAATCATAACCAATGACTGATTACTAATCGATTATATAATTACAATACCCCCCCCCCTCCGCCTCTAATCACTGCACCTGATATGAGTTAAGTGATGACGTCACCCTGCTGCTCTATATAAAAACCGGGAGCAAGCGAGGGCTTTACCATTCTGGCGAATTGCCCGATGATGCTGGATGTATTTACCAGCGAAACGTCATACTCAAACTGTAAATGTGGATTCACTCTTCAACACACCGGTGGGCTAAAGTAGTGAATTATTTGTCTTTTGTCAACGTGACACTTTTTTTGCTGATTGGCCGTGTTGGGTGGTGGAGGGTTACGACACATTTATAAATAAACGCGATCTAACCCAAAAACCTTTATTATGAATGTTTTTATTATTATCAACTCCTCCGTGTTATTTATTAACGTTCTACTTTTGTGAAGGATTACGAAGCAAAGGGACCCGCAAAGGTTCCAGTAGGGGCGAAGAAACAGTGCGACACCAGTATGTGGAGGGACACAAACACGGCCCTGGGGGTTGGGGGTCTCAGCGTTGATATCCCACGGTCGTCTCCCCCCACCCCCTCCCCCCACTCCTCCCCACCCCCTCCCCACCCCCTCCCCCCACTCCTCCCCACTCCTCCCCACCCCCTCCCCACCCCTCCCCACTCCTCCCCACCCCCTCCCCACCCCCTCCCCACTCCTCCCCCCACCCCCTCCCTACTCCTCCCCCCACCCCCTCCCCACCCCCACCCCCTCCCCAGCCCCTCCCCACCCCCTCCCCACCCCCTCCCCACCCCCTCCCCACTCCTCCCCCCACCCCCTCCCTACTCCTCCCCCCACCCCCTCCCCACCCCCTTCCCACCCCCTCCCCACCCCCACCCCCTCCCCACCCCCACCCCCTCCCCACCCCCTCCCCACCCCCTCCCCACCTTCTCCACTCCTACCGTAGCTGACCGAGCCCCTCCGAGCCCGGCACCCCGTGGGGGAGGAGGAGGAGGGGGAGGGGGATGGCGGCACCACGGACATCGCACCGTGGAGGGGACTCGAACCCGGCCACGGTGGGTGGGGGAGTCCTGGGGTGATGGTAGGGTGGGTGCAGGGAGTCAAGGTGGGAGCAGGGAGTCAAGGTGTGAGCAGGGAGTCAAGGTGGGAGCAGGGAGTCTGAGTGTGAGCAGGGAGTCAAGGTGTGTGCAGGGAGTCAAGGTGTGAGCAGGGAGTCTGAGTGTGTGCAGGGAGTCAAGGTGTGAGCAGGGAGTCAAGGTGTGAGCAGGGAGTCAAGGTGTGAGCAGGGAGTCTGAGTGTGAGCAGGGAGTCAAGGTGTGAGCAGGGAGTCAAGGTGTGAGCAGGGAGTCAAGGTGTGAGCAGGGAGTCTGAGTGTGTGCAGGGAGTCAAGGTGGGTGCAGGGAGTCAAGGTGGGAGCAGGGAGTCAAGGTGTGAGCAGGGAGTCAAGGTGTGAGCAGGGAGTCAAGGTGGGAGCAGGGAGTCTGAGTGTGAGCAGGGAGTCAAGGTGTGTGCAGGGAGTCAAGGTGTGAGCAGGGAGTCTGAGTGTGAGCAGGGAGTCAAGGTGTGAGCAGGGAGTCAAGGTGTGAGCAGGGAGTCAAGGTGTGAGCAGGGAGTCTGAGTGTGTGCAGGGAGTCAAGGTGGGAGCAGGGAGTCAAGGTGTGAGCAGGGAGTCAAGGTGTGAGCAGGGAGTCTGAGTGTGTGCAGGGAGTCAAGGTGGGAGCAGGGAGTCAAGGTGTGAGCAGGGAGTCAAGGTGTGAGCAGGGAGTCTGAGTGTGTGCAGGGAGTCAAGGTGTGAGCAGGGAGTCAAGGTGTGAGCAGGGAGTCAAGGTGTGAGCAGGGAGTCTGAGTGTGTGCAGGGAGTCAAGGTGGGAGCAGGGAGTCAAGGTGGGAGCAGGGAGTCAAGGTGTGAGCAGGGAGTCAAGGTGTGAGCAGGGAGTCAAGGTGTGAGCAGGGAGTCAAGGTGTGTGCAGGGAGTCAAGGTGTGAGCAGGGAGTCAAGGTGTGAGCAGGGAGTCAAGATGGGAGCAGGGAGTCAAGATGGGAGCAGGGAGTCAAGGTGTGAGCAGGGAGTCAAGGTGGGAGCAGGGAGTCAAGGTGTGAGCAGGGAGTCAAGGTGTGAGCAGGGAGTCAAGGTGTGAGCAGGGTGTCAAGGTGTGAGCAGGGAGTCAAGGTGTGAGCAGGGAGTCTGAGTGTGAGCAGGGAGTCAAGGTGTGAGCAGGGAGTCAAGGTGGGAGCAGGGAGTCAAGGTGGGAGCAGGGAGTCAAGGTGTGAGCAGGGAGTCAAGGTGTGAGCAGGGAGTCAGGGTGTGAGCAGGGAGTCAAGGTCTGTGCAGGGAGTCAAGGTGGGTGCAGGGAGTCAAGGTGGGAGCAGGGAGTCAAGGTGTGAGCAGGGAGTCAAGGTGTGTGCAGGGAGTCAAGGTGGGAGCAGGGAGTCAAGGTGGGAGCAGGGAGTCAAGGTCTGAGCAGGGAGTCAAGGTGTGAGCAGGGAGTCAAGGTGTGAGCAGGGAGTCAAGGTGGGAGCAGGGAGTCTGAGTGTGAGCAGGGAGTCAAGGTGTGTGCAGGGAGTCAAGAGTTGAGCAGGGAGTCTGAGTGTGTGCAGGGAGTCAAGGTGTGAGCAGGGAGTCAAGGTGTGAGCAGGGAGTCAAGGTGTGAGCAGGGAGTCAAGGTGTGAGCAGGGAGTCAAGGTGTGAGCAGGGAGTCAAGGTGGGAGCAGGGAGTCAAGGTGTGAGCAGGGAGTCAAGTTGTGAGCAGGGAGTCTGAGTGTGTGCAGGGAGTCAAGGTGTAAGCAGGGAGTCAAGGTATGAGCAGGGAGTCAAGGTGTGAGCAGGGAGTCAAGGTGTGAGCAGGGAGTCTGAGTGTGTACAGGGAGTCAAGGTGGGAGCAGGGAGTCAAGGTGGGAGCAGGGAGTCAAGGTGTGAGCAGGGAGTCAAGGTGTGTGCAGGGAGTCAAGGTGTGAGCAGGGAGTCAAGGTGTGAGCAGGGAGTCAAGGTGTGTGCAGGGAGTCAACGTGTGAGCAGGGAGTCAAGATGTGAGCAGGGAGTCAAGGTGGGAGCAGGGAGTCAAGGTGGGAGCAGGGAGTCAAGGTGTGAGCAGGGAGTCAAGGTGTGAGCAGGGAGTCAAGGTGTGAGCAGGGAGTCAAGGTGGGAGCAGGGAGTCTGAGTGTGAGCAGGGAGTCAAGGTGTGTGCAGGGAGTCAAGGTGTGTGCAGGGAGTCAAGGTGTGAGCAGGGAGTCTGAGTGTGTGCAGGGAGTCAAGGTGCGAGCAGGGAGTCAAGGTGTGAGCAGGGAGTCAAGGTGTGAGCAGGGAGTCTGAGTGTGTGCAGGGAGTCAAGGTGGGAGCAGGGAGTCAAGGTGTGAGCAGGGAGTCAAGGTGTGAGCAGGGAGTCAAGGTATGAGCAGGGAGTCTGAGTGTGTGCAGGGAGTCAAGGTGTGAGCAGGGAGTCAAGGTGTGAGCAGGGAGTCAAGGTGTGAGCAGGGAGTCAAGGTGTGTGCAGGGAGTCAAGGTGTGAGCAGGGAGTCAAGGTGTGAGCAGGGAGTCAAGGTGTGTGCAGGGAGTCAAGGTGTGAGCAGGGAGTCAAGGTGTGAGCAGGGAGTCAGGTGGGAGCAGGGAGTCAAGGTGGGAGCAGGGAGTCAAGGTGTGAGCAGGGAGTCAAGGTGTGAGCAGGGAGTCAAGGTGGGAGCAGGGAGTCTGAGTGTGAGCAGGGAGTCAAGGTGTGTGCAGGGAGTCAAGGTGTGAGCAGGGAGTCTGAGTGTGTGCAGGGAGTCAAGGTGTGAGCAGGGAGTCAGGTGTGAGCAGGGAGTCAAGGTGTGAGCAGGGAGTCTGAGTGTGTGCAGGGAGTCAAGGTGGGAGCAGGGTGTCAAGGTGTGAGCAGGGAGTCAAGGTGTGAGCAGGGAGTCTGAGTGTGTGCAGGGAGTCAAGGTGTGAGCAGGGAGTCAAGGTGTGAGCAGGGAGTCAAGGTGTGAGCAGGGAGTCAAGGTGTGAGCAGGGAGTCTGAGTGTGTGCAGGGAGTCAAGGTGTGTGCAGGGAGTCAAGGTGTGAGCAGGGAGTCAAGGTGTGAGCAGGGAGTCTGAGTGTGTGCAGGGAGTCAAGGTGTGAGCAGGGAGTCAAGGTGTGAGCAGGGGAGTCAAGGTGTGAGCAGGGAGTCAAGGTGTGAGCAGGGAGTCTGAGTGTGTGCAGGGAGTCAAGGTGTGTGCAGGGAGTCAAGGTGTGAGCAGGGAGTCAAGGTGTGAGCAGGGAGTCTGAGTGTGTGCAGGGAGTCAAGGTGTGAGCAGGGAGTCAAGGTGTGAGCAGGGAGTCAAGGTGTGAGCAGGGAGTCTGAGTGTGTGCAGGGAGTCAAGGTGGGAGCAGGGTGTCAAGGTGTGAGCAGGGAGTCAAGGTGTGAGCAGGGAGTCTGAGTGTGTGCAGGGAGTCAAGGTGTGAGCAGGGAGTCAAGGTGTGAGCAGGGAGTCAAGGTGTGAGCAGGGAGTCAAGGTGGTGAGCAGGGAGTCTGAGTGTGTGCAGGGAGTCAAGGTGTGTGCAGGGAGTCAAGGTGTGAGCAGGGAGTCAAGGTGTGAGCAGGGAGTCTGAGTGTGTAGCAGGGAGTCAAGGTGGGAGCAGGGTGTCAAGGTGTGTAGCAGGAGTCAAGGTGTGAGCAGGGAGTCTGAGGTGATGTGCAGGGAGTCAAGGGTGTGAGCAGGGAGTCAAGGTGTGAGCAGGGAGTCAAGGTGTGAGCAGGGAGTCAAGGTGTGAGCAGGGAGTCAAGGTGTGTAGCAGGGAGTCAAGGTGTGAGCAGGGAGTCAAGGTGTGAGCAGGGAGTCAAGGTGTGAGCAGGGAGTCAAGGTGTGAGCAGGGAGTCAAGGTGTGAGCAGGGAGTCAAGGTGTGAGCAGGGAGTCAAGGTGTGAGCAGGGAGTCAAGGTGTGAGCAGGGAGTCAAGGTGTGAGCTGAAGTGTGTGGCAGGGAGTCAAGGTGGGAGCAGGAGTCATATGTTGTGACCTAGGAGTCAAGTGTGAAGGCAGTGAGTCTGAGTGTGTGCGCAGGAGTCAGGTGTGAGCAGGGTCAAGGTGTGAGCAGGGAGTCATAGGTGTGAGCAGGGAGTCAAGGTGAGTGCTAGGGAGGCAAGGTGCTGAGGCAGGGAGTCAAGGTGTGGAGCTCGGGGAGTCAAGGTGTGTGGCAGGGATTCAGGGTGTGAGCAGGGATGTCAAGGTGTGAGCAGGGAGTCAAGGTGGGAGCAGGGAGTCAAGGTGTGAGCAGGGAGTTCAAGGTGTTGTAGCAGGAGTCAAGGTGGGAGTCAGGGAGTCTGAGTGTGAGCAGGGAGTCAAGGTGTGTGCGAGGGAGTCAAGGTGTGAGGCAGGAGTCTGAGTGTGTTCAGGGAGTCAAGGTGTGTGCAGGGAGTCAAGGTGTGAGCAGGGGAAGTCAAGGTGTGAGCAGGGAGTCTGAGTGTGTGCAGGGAGTCAAGGTGGGAGTCAGGGTGTCTAAGTGGTGAGTCGCAGGAGTCAAGTGTGTATCAGGGTAGTCTGAGTGTGTGCAGGGAGTCAAGGTGTGAGCAGGGGGAGTCCAAGGTCCTGTGAGCAGGGAGTCAAGGTGTGAGCAGGAGTCAAGGTGTGAGCAGGGAGTCTGAGTGTGTGCAGGGAGTCAAGGTGGTGAGCAGGGAGTCAAGGTGTGAGCAGGGAGTCAAGGTTGTGAGCAGGGAGTCAAGGTGTGAGCAGGGAGTCAAGGTGTGAGCAGGGAGTCTGAAGGTGTGTGCAGGGAGTCAAGGTGTGAGCAGGGAGTCAAGGTGGGAGCAGGGAGTCAAGGTGTGAGCAGGGAGTCAAGGTGTGATGCAGGGAGTCAAGGTGTGTGAGCAGGGAGTCAAGGTGTGAGCAGGGATGTCAAGGTGTGAGCAGGGAGTCAAGGTGTGTAGCAGGGAGTCAAGGTGTGAGCAGGGAGTCAAGGTGTGAGCAGGGAGTCAAGGTGGAGCAGGGAGTCAAGGTGTGAGCAGGGAGTCAAGGTGGGAGCAGGGAGTCAAGGTGTGAGCAGGGAGTCAAGGTGTGAGCAGGGAGTCAGGTGTGAGCAGGGAGTCAAGGTGGGAGCAGGGAGTCA